AATAAAATTTTTTAAAAGTTGTAATAAAGTTTTTGAAATAAAGCTATTTTCTCATTACTTTTCAGCCACCCCACGTAATATAGACTTATACTATTATTATTATTTTAGTAATGTTGATAAACAAGAAACTACCAAAAAATGAAAAAGATCACCATTAATACGAGAATATAACCTTCATGATAAAAAAATATAAATTACAATTGTGGACATCTAACAAAAAGGAAACATCATAAACACAAATCTGTAAATATAAACTAAATATTAACAAAAATTATTATATATAAAATTTAATTTTTTTACTTGTATTTATAGACATCGTCATCACCATCACCATTACTTCCTTCCTCACAAATACCAAGATCACTATCTTCTTCTCCTCCGCTTAGTGTGGACCATAATTTTTACGATGAAGAGGAATTACCTGGAAAGAGGAACTGTCTAAGATGTCCTATTCATTGTCATATTGGTGGATTTGACCCATTTCAATAGTAAATTATGGATACCTTGGTAAAAATGTTATGTAAACATGTGGTGAGCATGTGATTATTCTATTAATTTTACCACAAAATTTTTTTTTTCATTTCATTGCGACCAGAATTAAGTTCCTATGATTATTTATAATACATATATATATTAATTCGTGATCTGTGAAACAACTGCAAAATTTTCATAATAGAATTTGGCACAAAATTTTGCAGATCACTAATTAAAATTTTCTGGACTCTAACTTTCACCCCCAACGTAACCACCCTTTATGTTTATATAAACTAAAATTGTACTTTTAACACAATATATGAATCTCAAAGTTTAAATATACAAATTTTCAAAGGGACTTTCTTATAAAATATTTTATGTTTATATGTAGGAATCGCTGGATTCCCGCCTAAAATTATTATATAAAATTTAAGGTTTGGAATAAAGATTTAAGAAATTAAAAAAATTTATGATATAAAAATGGTTTTAGAATTAATTTTATCGAGGAAAAATATAAATATGTTATTTCTATTTAGTTTTTAATAATTACTAATGATTTTAATAATTATAATATTATTTTGCATTAACAGAGAGAATTAGAGAGAATTAATTATTGATGAAAATAAAAATGAAAGTAAAGTGAAAGGTATGGAAAATTATATTACAGTCATAATGATTAGTATTATTATATCAAACAAAAAAAACTTATCATTATTAATTTTAACTTTCAACTCCAAGTTTTATCTGGGCACTTCTTTCACATAACTGTGCTGTATATTGGGTTATCCATCCTTGTATAGTTGATAATTTTGGTAAATCTGAGATCTCAATTTCTCCTTCTACTTTTAGTTTCAAAAAATCTAACATCTCTTGTGCCAAAAAACACTGTTCTAAAGTAAGTACAATACTTTTTTTCATATGTTTACCACAACCCTTTTTACCATATTTTTGAACTTCCTTCAATGCCCAGCCAATTATTAATGGAAATTCAGATGCTTCCAATTGTCTGTGGTATATAAATTATTTAATTCCATTTATCTCTTTTGAAGCTAAAAATTTTTTCCATCTAAACTTACCTTATTTCTTCTTCTTTATTAGGCATACTTGGGTTCCTCAAATGTGAGCCTAAAATTGTGTAAGTAAATTTTATCTTTAATTTCATTGAAATTAAGCAAAAATAATATAAAAATATCAAGTACACATATATTACCTTCTATACTTGCTAATGTTTCATGTCTCAATTCTTCATCCAACACTTCTATCAATTTCTGTCATTTATTTTGCTTCCCATAGTCAACTCCTCGATTTTCTAACTCTTTGCTCAACTTTCTTGATGATAATCTTTTGGGGCAAATTCCTAATATTTTGATATAAATTTAGAAATCAATCAGGTATATTCAACGATTTATGAAAATTACCTGATGCATGTGGAATAGGTATTTTCCATGGAGATTTTGGTTTAGTTGGTTCAGACAGTTGTGGTGATGGTTGGTTGATTTCATTTTTCAGTATTAGGGCTGGAGAAAATGATAACCATCTTCCAATATTTGGTATTGCACATGCCTGAATATATCCTGCATTGTCACCTTCAATTGGCCAACTCCATTCAAACCAATTGGATATACCAGGTATGGTGATAGATTTTTCTTTTTCTTTTTTATCTGAGGTAATACAAATTATCATCATTTATTATAACTAAATTTTTTTTATTGTTTATATAACTCAGAACTTACCTCTCACACAGTTTGGCTCTATATGAGCAACTGAAATACCTGCAACATTTTCAATAGCTGAGGTAATATCTTTTCCTTCTTGAATTTCTCCACCAATTTGAACATGCTGTTTAATTGAAAGTGATATCTAATTCAGGGTTGTGAAATTTCGCTGTACGAGAAGAATCTTCGTACGTACATACGTACATACATACATACGACTGACTTCGTACCATTGAGTTCGTACAGTTTCGTTGTGGCCGTACACCTGTACGAGGAAATTTTACATATGTACGTACGTACGAATGTACGAATGTACGATTTATCAGAAACGATTATTTTCTGCAGTGATAAAATATTACACCGTAAAATCTTATAACAATATCATTACAATTAACGGATTACTATTACCAGATGTTGTAACACTTGATTATCAAACTGATTGTTGTATTCTGTGGTACGTTATTATTATTATTATAGTAATAGTATAAGTATATTCCATGATTTTTATATATTTTTTTTTAAGAGTATATAATGAATAATAAAAAAATTACACATTCGTTAATTGTTATCAATTGTTGAAAACATAACCATATCTTTCAAGTGTATACAGTCATTAATTCCACAATTCTTTTATTCCAATGGTTAAAGCTTTGAAAAATTACATTGTTGAAACAAAACAAAAAAGTGGTTCTAGTAACAAATTATGTTACTGCAAAGCTTGCTTTATTAAACTTGGTGAAAACAGCAATGAATTAAAAACAATAGTAGATAAAACTGAACGTATAATTCAACATTTTAATGATTGTCAAAATTTTCATGTTGTGTATAGCCAAGAAGAAAAACTTAAAATACTAGCTCTTGGTAATAGTAATAATAATGATAATAATAACAATACAATAAAAAGAAAAAGTAAATTAATTTATTTAATTAATAATTTAATTAATTAATAATTTATTTTATCTAATTAATAATTTATTTAATTAATAATTTATTAATTAACAATTTATTTATTATTACATGAATTAATTTCTTTTCTATTAGGATCAAATTCTACTTCGTCTCAATCATCTAATTATGGTCCTTTAGATAATTTTGTTGCCAGACCTTTATCTAAAGCAGATAATGAAGTTTTTCATAAACTTATATTAAAAGCCACTATTTCTTGTGGTTTTCCATTATCTTGGGTGAATAATCAAGAAACAACAGAATTATTTAAATTTCTCAACCCACATATCAAACTACCAGATAGAAAAACCCTTTCCACTAAACTATTGAATGATGCAGTTAAAGAATATGATAATGTCATGTTAGAAAAATTAAGATTAGATCAAATAGGTGTCACACTTATGTTTGATGGATGGACGAATGTTAGGCAACAAGAATTAATGGGATGTGTTCTTTTGATGTCAGATGGAGAACCATGTGTATGGCAAGCTATGGATATCAGTAGTGAACGTGATACAATGTTTGAAGTTATGACTAAAACTGAAGAATTAATTTCCAAATTAATAGATATGAAAATAACATTGTTATCAATAGTAACTGATAGTGCACCTTCCTATAATGCATCAAGGCAAGTGCATATTAATTTTTTCTCATTGCCTCAAACTATCATTGAATATTTTATTGATTTATAATATAAATCTTTAATTATTAGGGCAAGATTACGACTTAAACATAGAAATATTGTTTTTTTACCATGTTTTGCCCATCAGGTGAATTTGTGTGTAGGGGAAATTTTTAAAATTTCATCTGAGTTCAAAAATACATCAGGCAATGCCTTAAAAGTGTCAGCCTATTTTAAAGATGCTAGACATAAATATTTCATTGGCCAACTTCGTGATATTCAAAAAGAACTTTATAGCAAATATATTCAACTTGCACTTCCATGTAATACCAGGTGGAACAGTCAACATAATTGCTTTAAAAGTTTAATTGCTACTAAAAATGCTTTACGTGTAAGTTATTCTATTTATTTTTACAATCTTTCAAAATAGTAGTTTTGATTCAAATAAAATAATTGACAATTATTTTTTACATAGTCTTTGGCAATAAAATTTGATCCTTCTTCATCAACGAATACATTGAAAATTTCACATGAAATGTATTGTATTATAATGAATGAATCTTTTTGGGACGAACTTTTAAAATTGGATCAAATTTTGATTCCTTATTGCAATATTTTGAATAAACTACAAAGTGACAAGGCAAGATTATATGAAGTTTTACATTGTTATGCATATTTGTATCAATCCTAGTCCCGCAACTTGCTGCGCCTCGTAGCCAATTTTGGGAAAAATATCAAAACTCAGAAATTGTAAGTTATGCTCAAAAATGCAATAAAATTTTATATCATGTGACCTTTAATGGTGATACAAATTAAAAAAAATATTTATATTAATAATATATAAATAATGTTATAACATTGCTAAGCATAGTAGAAATTCTATTTTGATCGACATTTGCAATTATCACATTTCCATTTCAGTATATGATTTTCGTGTTACATAATTTTATGAAACTTGCGATTAGTACAAAGGCCATTTTTCGTTCTTGGTTCCAAGCAAGCATACAATAAAATATTGCCATTTTTGTATAATAATAAATCAGAATCTAATTCCTTTTTTTTTTACAAAGATTGTTTGTTAAAATTAAAATTTGATTCTTTTTGCATGTCAAACTCTTTGTTAAATAAGTTTTCTTTTTTTTTCACATACATAATGTATAAAAGACTTATTTGATGTAAATTTTTTTATATTTAATAAATAAAAAACTCAAATATATAAATCCTGTAGAAATTTCAAGTTCAAATAAATTAATTAAATTTCATCAAATAAATCATTTAAAAAAATAACCAATCCAATTATTTATTTTAAAATAACAATCGGGATCGCGTAACATCTAAAATTTGTTAAATTAATATTATAACTATGCCAAGAGCAAAGAATATAGGACCATGTACAATAACCAGTTGTGAAGGAACTAATAGATTTTACAAAATGACTTGTTATACTATTGAGAAAATAAGATTTAAAGATTTAGAAAATAAATATAACTTTATAAAAGAGGGTGACCAATTATGCTCTAAACATTACCTGGATATAGTTGAGCCTGATAGAAATAACAGAAACAAAAATTCTAGTGAATCAAATTTTCAAAGAACTGATGATTCATATAGTGGATCTTCATCTAGCCAATTAATTAATATGTCTACTAATGAATTGGAGTGGCCAGATATTAAAGTTAATTATACCAATGAAAATATTATTATGTCAAGGGAAGATTTTTCATTATTAGTCAAAAATATATATAGAACAAATGAAATTCCAGCTTGAAAATCAACTCTATTACGTGGAGGAAAATGAAGATTCTAGTTTTGATAGTGAAATCAATAGTGGTAATTTATCTATTTATTTTTTTTTAAATGTTGATTAATTTAAATAATAATTTAATAATTTATTTATTAAATAGAAAATGATCCTACCTTTGTATCAAAATTTGAAATTTTAAGCAAGATCCTTTACAATCAGCAAAGAAAATTAAAAAATAATATCAAATTGGATCCTGAGGAATTTTCTGATATGATAACACAACAGGATGAAAGATTAGAAGGTTTTTTTTATGAAATGGTTGAAGCAATTATTCCAAGTGGAAGAAAAGAAAAAAATAAAGATGATGCTAAAAGATCAATTGTAGCATTTTGTTATTTGCTGGCAGGTCTACGTAATAAATTCATAAATTCTGTAAAACTTGATATTGGTTTATATCTTGTTGCTGCAGGAATAAGTTGTACTGCAATAGACACTTTGTCTAGAATTGGGATTACAACCAGCTACAAAACTATTGAGAATTATAAAAAACAATTAGCAAGTGATCATCCAAAAAAAATTAATGAATATTTTCATGAAAATGTAAGTAATAAACAACCCAATTAATAATTATATTTAATTTCTAAAATACTTATCATGTATGTAAAAATTTTAGATGAATAATTTGTTTTGTTTTAATGTTGATGATTACCACTCTATACATGGCTGGAGACAGCCTAATTCTACTTCACTCTCCACTGTCAACCATATGGCAACTGTTGTGTCAAAAAAAATTGAATGTGGCCCAATTCCTGAAATTTATAATGGAATATCCATATTCAATTCCAACAGAAAAATCTACATTCATTAGATGACTATGTGGATGTTCTGTTATCAATAAGTAGAATAGAAAGTATTTCTAGATATTTAATAAATAATGTCATACCTGTTTCAGCTGATTGGCCTGGACAATTATTTATTAGAAAAGCCATAACCAATATCAGAAATCAAAATTCTAATAATATTATTATTAGAAATTTTATACCCTTAATTGGTCCTTTACATGTTTCGTTAAATTCAAGAGAGCAAGTAATTTTAGTTTACTGGGAGCTTTTCAATAAGATGTACCATTCTCTTTTTGGACCAAAAAAAATTTTGGCTGAAAAGCCTCAACCTTGGAGAATAAACTTTTTGTTAGATCTTTTAAATAGAGGATGGAAAAAAATATCACATGTAATATTAAATAAATTCCCTAACAACTGTAAGGGTATAGAATACAGGATGATGATAGACCTGTTAGATAATATTATTCCTTCCACATTGGATGTTTATGCTGTTCTGTTCAGGTCAGGTTCATTTAATGAATATTTAGAAACACTCTTTCGAATTTGGACCTTTGCTTTAAGATGGAAAAGAAAAAATTATAATAAAGCACCTTTAGCCTTCTTATCGGACTATTTTTATTGGAAAGAGAATTCTCATCCATTTAGTAAATCAATTGAAAAATACCTTGTAAATTTTAATGATTATTATGTTGAAAACATACATAGCCAGATAAGAGCCAACACAACCTCCTTAGATTCAGCAGAAGCTATAATTAATGAAGCTTATGTTCTTGATCTTCGTGATCAAACAACAATCAACTCATTTAAAAATTATCGTAAGTATCCATATACTGAGCCAGTCCTGGATGAATTAACAAATAGAACCAGTATATTTTTATTAGATCATTTCCACTTGATTTATTTAAACCTTGAAAAAAATAAAGATAAAGATAGACAACCAAAAAAAAATTTTAAAACTTACAAATTGGAAGCTCTAAATAAAACTGTTGATATAAGATTCTTTCCAACAGGCTATCATACATCTTTTCCTCCAAAGCCTAATTTGTGTGATAAATGTAAACAAGTTTTAGGAAACCTAAATGTAAATGTATTGATATGTGGTCATGGATATCATTATGAATGTTATCAAAGTTGGAAAAATGTGTGTAAACATTGTGAAGAATATTACAAAAAAGGGATATTCAAAAATGTTGACTCATTCCTTGAAAGATTAAATGAAGGTGGTGACATTTTAACAAGTGAAGACATTGAAGAAGAGAGTTATGAAGAAGATCAAGAAGAAGATATAGTCATGCCTGAAATAAATTTGGACATTGATTTAAATAGAAAAATTGAATTAGTAAATGAATGGTAAAATATATTATTATATAAATAGTAAATTATATTATTGTTTATTTCATTTATATCTGATTCATATTATTATTTAACTTATCATTCTATCCAACATGTATTATTATGTTTTACTCAATTATTTATTTTATATAATAATAATAAAATTTTTTTTACCTTTGTATACGAAGCACTTTGTTAAAAAAATGTAAATTTTACTTCATATGTAACCTATTCATTGAATTGCATCTAATTGCATCTTATTTTTTTAAATGAAAGAGTATATATTAAAGATAATAATCGTATAATTTTTTTTTGCAATATTGCTTAAAAAGTCATGTTACCTATTAACTACTTTTGTGTATTATTATGTTTTACTCAATTATTTATTTTATATAATAATAATAAAATTTTTTTTACCTTTGTATACGAAGCACTTTGTTAAAAAAATGTAAATTTTACTTCATATGTAACCTATTCATTGAATTGCATCTAATTGCATCTTATTTTTTTAAATGAAAGAGTATATATTAAAGATAATAATCGTATAATTTTTTTTTGCAATATTGCTTAAAAAGTCATGTTACCTATTAACTACTTTTGTGCATTTTAACGTAACTCAAGTACTTTAAAATAATTGAAATTAATTGTAGCACAATATAAATTTGCATATATCACAAATGATCATCACATTTCTGATATAATCGAATTTCTATTATGCTAGATCATGGGAAACGAACATATAAATCGGAAATGATTTACATGTAACACGAAATGAAAATTTGGAAGCGATTATCACGGAATAACTCAACAAGAAATAAACTGGTACAATTTAATAAATGTTACGCTAATTAATAAGGCGCACCAATCAAATAAATGGCTCTTGGAAAATAACCCAAATATTGGAGACATAAATATTCCAACATTCTAAAATGTAACAAATTACATAGTCTCAGAATAATATTTAAATGAAAGAATTTTACATGACTCATATTGACTAGAAATTACTTGAAAATAATTTTAAACGGAAGGTTTAAGGAATATATTAATTAGTATAAATTAGGATTTCAACAAAGTCAGATAACTAGATGATAGAACCTTTAACATGTATAAATACATTGTAAATTTCTCTTTCATGTAATAATCAGTTAATCAGTTAATTCATTCTTAACTATTATCTTGTAATAACAATAATATCTTATTAATAAAATACGAACATAAATATCCCTTAAAAAATAATTTATTGCCAGTGGAATTATCCACCCACTTCCAAAAACCACATAAACCTTTAACTCTAACTAAATTATCAATTAATTACTATCTTACCAGGGGGACGCCTTTGATAAGTATAGTGTGTGTATTTTTCTTTTAATTATTTTCTTTATCTTTATTTAGATTAGGCCAATGCCTAAATAGTGGAAATCCTAGCTAGGTGAGGTCAGTTAAGAAACTGAACCATAAATATAATAATCAGTGTAGAAAGTATCACAACGGATACTTGAGATATTATAAATATCATTGAGACGTGCCGGCTCAGGCAGATAACAAAGAACTGCTGAGAAAACGTTACAGAAGGGAAGTAAGGAAACTTGCCCTGTGAATAATTAAATAGCTTGAGTGCTATAGTGAGAGAAAGTAATCAAAGAATTACATAATTTGATACTGCCATAAGAAGGGATAAATAACATTCTAACCAAATCAAGAGATTTGTGTGAGATGCAGATTTTGATCTCACAGCAGCCCAAATTGGTTTGGTGATTTTGATGTCAAAATTATTCCAATTTTGATGGTAGAAAGTAGAAATTAATTATGACATTCACTATTAAAAACATAAGTGTAACACCCCTTTACTACATGTGTAACCCCCTTTATGACAGTGTCAAAATACTTTGGGCTGCATGTATAGATATGGGCTTTTTTCTTGATAATATAGATTATTCAGATATATGTATTAATTTTTATTAATATATTAATAAATTATTTATATATTACATAATGTACATCAGGAAAATAAATCTCATGTAAACCTACGCAGGGTTTAAAACTGACCAGTATTATGCAGAAATGTTAACAGAATTACCAAAATATCGACATAATGCTGGCCAATTCTGAACCCTACGTAGGTTTATGTAAGATTTATTTTCCTGATGTATTGATAAGTACTTCAACTTGTTAATGATATAAAAAAATGAAAACATTGATTTGAAAAGATAAGGAATAAATAATAATGTATGTTTGTGATTATTAAAAATTATCCAAATTTCAAATGAAAAAAAATCCAAAGATATATAATATCACTATTAAATGTAATTTCATTTCTCAAGATATTTAATATCACAACTATAGTATCCATATAAATAAATAAAAAATAATTTTAATACATAATAATAGTCGAACAATGTGTCACATTAAATGATTGGGAAGTGTATTTTCCAAAATTTTCTGGTGATCAATGTCAAAATTCTGTTAATAAAATTAGCCACAAACCTTAATTTTAAACCTTTTTTGCTCACCAATCTCCACCAAATTTGAGACACAGATTTTTCAAGACTTTTAGAAAAAAATTAGGAGAGATTATTAATAGAATAGAAAAAAATCTTGATGTTAAAGTTTATCAAACAAATTACCACATTTGGAAATTAATTATCTATTTTTGGTTATGACTCCTGATAATCTCTTGCCCACAATTTTTTCCTTTGTGTTGATAACAAAATTTAGTATATTTTTTGGAGTTTTTTGCCATTTTCACTAAATTTTAATAAACAACAATCCACATAAAGCTATACCTAAATGAAAACTTACAATATTTTACATTTCTTCAACCACTCATCAAGTTTGTAAAGGTAATATTGGTAAAAATCTTAGCTTTGAAGTAAAAAGTAATGCTGTTTTTGAATAAATATAGCCTGACATAGAGAGCCTCTATAAATATGGGAGAGGGCTCATTAGAAAGCTATAATGTCATAGCCTTATCTTTGATTAATAATGATGTTTGAATTTGTTATAAAAATAATGAAATATTTTAAAAACCTGATTTGTTACACAAGTCAGATTTTCTATTTTGTATATGTAATTACACCTCCGTGACATATCATTTGACTGATAAATGACAGGATTCAAAATTCATCTAGTAGTATATCTAAATCAATCTGATGAAGATCTAAAAAAATATCTATCACAAGAGTGGATGTTACTTTTAAAAATTAATAAAATGAAAATAATCAATGATTGAATGTTGATAATTACCATGATTATTACCAATAATTGTTACTTTATTGGAATTAACAGGTTGGGGATAAGGATACTGGCTGCAACTTTTGATGATGGTTGCTACCACCTTTGCGTCATATAAAAATGATTGCAACCACTGGTTGCAACCACCTTTACGACCATTTTGTTTCCTTTTTTGGATTGCAACATGGAACACTAGTTGGGGAATTTTAATAATCTGTTAGTATAAACTGTATTTGGATGAATTGCTGCAGTAATTGTTGAAGGATCAAATTTTATTTCATCCATTTTCTCAAACTCTTTTCTGATTGATTCTGGTTCATGACCCAGCCTATAATGTTGAAGTGAATCATTCCAAAAATCAATAATCTCAAAAATTCTTCAGCAGTTGGATGTTTATCTGGATTAGCATCCATGCATTTGAATGCTAGTTCAATATAAAATTTTGGTGTATTGTTTGAGAATCCAGGTCTTGCACCTCTATATAGCATAGTGGACACTGTTGCAGATCAAATGTGACAAAATTGATCATTGATCTTTTTTATGTTGTGAAACTTGCTATTTCAATTGTTTTAAAATAGAAAAAAAGGATTATATGTGAAAAGAAAAACTGGTGTAGTGAATCTTTTTTTTTGAATGGAAATATTTCATTATTTTTGTCTTTACTGTTTGGTTAACTAAAATCATTCAGATCATTGCTAGATCAAAAGTTAGATATGAACTGGAGTTTGGAGTAAAGTCTAGACATATGCACACAATTTATTTTCGAAATTTACCAATCTTTAATTAAATCAAAAGCATTTTTTCAAAGTCTAAAGCTATTATTTGTTCTTCACTTATATCTTTCTCCACCTTTTCATCTCCTGTTATGTGGAATTCTTCTACTTCATTCAAGGGCTCAGTCAAATTTCCTTTATTTATGTAAGAAGATACATTGGAAACTACACCTTCAAGCAATAGGTGCATGTATAATTGTAAATCTTGTTTCAGCAGGTGAAAAATAAAGCTGCATTCACCTTACGGAGTAAATGCAAGTGAATGGAGAGTATATACAATTAAATTGATTTACTGCATATTGAAGTATTGAATTTATTATATCATCAGGAAATTAATTTAGTGTAAACTTGCATAAATCTTATGATGCTGACGTAATATTGTGTAAATCTTACAGTGCCGACATAAGTTTTACACTTTTTTATTATTAAACTTACAATTGACATGTGTAAAATTTTTTTATATTTTCCGGATGATCATATATGTATTTGCTTGTGTTATTAACTCCATTATTATTAGTGTTCCATGTTGCAATCCAAAAAAGGAAACAAAATGGTCGTAAAGGTGGTTGCAACCAGTGGTTGCAATCATTTTTATATGACGCAAAGGTGGTAGCAACCATCATCAAAAGTTGCAGCCGGTATCCTTAATTATTATTATTATTATTATTATATTTGTAGTTTATTGAAAGATAATATAACAGTTGATTTATAATAAGCAGACATAAGGTTTTTTGGATAATATAATTATTGTTCAAATTAAAAAATGGATCTATACAATCAGAAAGAATGTTGTTACATACTATTATTATTATTATTATTATTTATATTAATAAAACAACAAATAAACAAAGATAATAAATAAATAGTTTTTATTGCTTTCCCTAAATGAAATAATTAATTTTATTACAAATATTGTGTTTTCCTAGCCATAATCCCAAGCTGGCTTTAAAGTTGTGTTTGACTATATATCAAAAGTTGAAATTTTTTAATGCTGTGATTTTTTATTCATAATAATTGTCAAACCCAATCAAAATTAGATTTTGTAATAATTTGGAATAAGATTGTCAAAAATTTGGCCAATGAAATAGTTGTTTTTGTGATCTGCAACAGTGTCTACTCTACATATTTTCATTGCAAGATCTACATAATGTTCCAAATTATTAAATGGTTGTTTTCCAGTTGATACTACAGACATCAGAACTCCAAAACCGTATACATCTGATGCCATTTTATATGGTTTCTCCCTTTAAAACTTCTGGTGCAATATATGATAGTACTCCACATATATCATTTTTGTTTGATGATGATGTTTGACTAGTTGGGCATGATAATCCTAAGTCTGCAATATATGAATTCATATATTCATTTTTTTGAAGAATATTACCACTATGAAGATCATGATGAATAATTTCTTCTTTATAATATTTTTTAAACCTTCAATAATTTGTTTAAGAATATTAATTTCCAGTTTCCATTTTAAAATTTTAAAATCTTTAAACAATTTTGAAGACTTCCACTTTCCATATATGCCATTACAAATGTATATTCTTTTGTGATTGGATCTTGTGTTAATCCATAAATATAAATTTTATCATGAAACTTTGTATAATTTTCAAGCTAAAATAACAAATAAAATATTTAATTACAACAACAATATTTAAAAAATCTGAAAATGAATGAAAAGTAAAATAATTTACCTCATTAAGAAATTCATCAGAAATATTCAGTGAATTATGTAGTTTCTTTAATGCCATTGGCATATCCTTGCTAGTTCCTTCATTATTATAATTTACACATTTATAACCATTTAACCAAGTAACTTTGTATACAGTTGTAAACCCATCTTCACCTATCTTTTCAATATTTGTTAAATCAATCCATTGAAGATGATTACTATAATGATACTTGGTTGATTTAAGTTGTGTGCTTTTAATCAACTCATCTAATGTTTCATTGCCACTAGTCCATACTTCAGTTAATAGCTTTAGATCACATGATTTACACCATGAATAATTAGTATTATATCTATTGCAGGTTTGACATTCTCCACAATATCCTTTTCTTTCCTTTGAATATCATCAACATCATTTTTGTCAATAGAAGTACCATCATGATATCCATTTTCATCCAAAGTGTTTTCCATCCTTTAAAAATTATTTGTATTTTTTTATTATATTTGTATAATTTCTAAAAAAACTTTTTTTTAGCCATAAATTTGTATCACACAAAACTGTAATTACATTCTGTAAATAAATTTGTCATGACATCCTAATGTCATTAAAGTCGTAAACCATAAAACTATAATACTGTAATTATTTACAGCCTATAACTATTGTGAGCATGCAATCTGGGTTATTTATTATGGAATCGCCAAATCTGGAAGACTAAACTAAACAGATAATTACAATGAATTAGGTAATTTTAATGATTTAGATAACATTTATGAATTAGATAACCCAGATGAGTTAATTGAATATTGAAAATGTATTATATTCAACAATTTATTAAAGAAAAACTCATGAATTTTTGTGATGTCATAAACATATAAATGCAAACCCACTTAATAACATGGGATTTTCTTGGCCAAACAGTATGCTTATAGACGGGTTACACTGGTATTTTATATATTTGTTTATTTTTTACTGTGTTAAATAGTTAAAATGTAGTTGGTCACGTGACATTCGTATACAAAAAAATTTTCGTTGTAAATTTTATTTTATACTGCCAATAAAAAGTTTCTAGTGACCTCAAAAAAAGCCTTCATTACCTATAAAAAATCCTCACATCGGTTCAAGTTACTCGACAACTATGGATATTTAATATTAATATGGTTGCCGAAATTAGCACCTTTGATTGATAAGAGTTTAGACAAAAAGTAAACTACCACTAATTTCTAATAATCGTTGCCGGAACCAAAATAGTTTTTAATAATAATACTATTAATATCCGAAACTAACTTTGCCGAATCTTTATAGACTAAATAATTATTTTAGGAGCCATTGAAAATTACTTTTTTTCTAAAAACAGCTTAGGCAACAAACCGTCCACAATAAATAAATTAATTAACACGTGATTTTCTCTACCTTTCATTATATTATGCGAGAATCGACACCAACAACAGGCTTTCAATTAGAAAAGGCGGAAGAAGAATTTCTTGTCAAACGCGTTGCACATGAAAAAAGCAATAGATCATCAGATCATACAGAAGAAGTTATAGAAACTAGCAAAACCGAAAGTTCAATAAAGCCTGTTGTTAACGTAATGTTGGAAACATCAGAAAAAATGAGAGAGATGAAAAAAAAAGATTTTATAGATGGACAAGAAAGGGAGGAAGAAATGAGTTTCTATTCCTCAACGGCAGGAACAGTCGAAGCTTATAAAGGTTTAACCACACAGGATAGACGAAATGTAGTTCTACTAATTATTCTATGTGAGTAATTGATTTTTATATTTTATTTACACGTATGAAACATCTTTAATAAATTAAAAACTTTTTTGAAGATTTACTTCAAGGAATACCAGTTGGGCTAGCGTTTGGATCAATACCCTTTCTTCTTAAATCAAAGTTAACATATTCACAATTAGGAATATTTTCCTTGGCTACGTATCCTTATTCATTAAAATTATTATGGTCACCGCTTGTAGATTCTATATATTCGAAAAGAGTTGGACGTAGAAAAAGTTGGATAATACCTATTCAATTGATGACAGGAAGCCTTTTTATGTGGTTAGGAGACAATATTGATCATTTGTTTTCAAAGGTAGAAAGAAAAACTTCATTAATAAAAGTATATAAAAAATACATTTATATGTATGTATGTTAATATCTTTTAACTTTAGGATAAACCAGATGTCTATGTTCTTACTGCCTTATTTTTTATATTGATTTTTTTTTCTGCGACGCAAGGTAATTGATTAATATTGATATAGAATGGAACTTGATGAATAAATTGACAAACTTTAATTAATATTCAAATTTCTGTTAATTTTGATCAAGACGTTGCGGTTGATGGTAATTATTATTATTGAATATTAAATATAATTACGTATAAAAAAACATTAAATCATTTTTTCTACAATAATAGGATGGGCTTTAACTTTACTATCAAAAAACAGTTTATCATATGCCTCTACCTCCCAAACTATTGGGTTAAATACTGGATATTTCTTATCATTTACTGTTTTCTTAGCATTTAATTCTGCAGATTTCAGGTATATTATTGCAATTATTTATTTTGAAATGAATAATTAAAGAAAAATCTGATAATTTTACTATTTATTTTACTATTTTTAGTAACAAGTATTTTAGAAGTGAACCAAGTGAAGAAGGAATTTTAGCACTTGGATCATACCTTACTTTTTGGTCGTTTGTATATTTTGCAGTGACCCTTTGGTTAATATTTGCTAAAAGTGAAGTGAGTCTCTTGGATAAAAATTAATAAAGATTATTTATCTAATTATTGTTTTAATTGACCTATTTATTTATTTATTTACTAAGGATGCAACATATTCAGATGATGAAATGGATATTAAAACTGTTTATCAAACTATTTGGAATATTTGTAAAATGCCACGTAAGTTTATATTTCTTTTTATCATATAATTAATATAATAATAATTAACATAATAATTAATATATCTACTATATAAATATAAATATTGACATATTGATATATCGATATTGATCAGATATGATGAAACTTATTTTAGTACTTTTAACAGCTAAAATTGGATTTATTGCCAATGAAGCTGTCACAGCATTAAAATTAATGGAAAAAGGATTTAGTAAAGAAGATTTAGCATTGGCAGTATTGATTGATTTTCCAATACAGATTTTAGTTGGATATTATGCAGCTAAATGGAGTAATGGACCACAACCATTAAAACCTGTATGAAAGAGGATTTTTTGTTTTCTTGATAAAATATTTTACGAAAACATATGCATATGTATAATTTAAATAACGATTAATTTATCTTAATTAATTATAGTGGATAAATGCATTTTATGGACGTATATTTTTTGCATCTGTAGGTATGCTGGTAGTGTACGTATTCCCTGAAAATAACAAAGTTTCATCAAGTATGTTTTATGTTGTGATTGCAAGCATAGTTTTAAGTTCTTTTACAAGGTAAGAGGAAAAGAAATTGAATCGATTAATTGAATTAAATATTTATACTAGTTAAATGATTTGTTTTTGTTATTACTAGTACTGTACAGTTTGTTTGTATATCAGCTTTTATGTCATCAATTGCAGATCCTGTGATTGGTGGAACATACATGACAGTAAGTATTTTTTCAAATTTAATTTTCTTATAAAAAAACATATATATATAAATTATTGTTGTTGTTGTTGTTGTTAGCTTTTGGCAACATTTAGTAATTTTGGAGGTACATGGCCTCGTTTCTTTGTATTGGAAGCGGTTGATTATTTCACAGATGCTTCATGTATAATTAGAACTTCAACAGAAGAAGGTAATTATTAATTATTAATTATTATTAGATATTAAATTATTAAATTAATCATTTTATTATTTTATTTAGTATTTAAATGTGTTTCTGAAGAAGAAAAATCACTATGTAAAGAGAAAGGTGGTGTCTGTACTGTTCATCAAGATGGATATTATATTGTCTCTATTATTTGTGTGTTACTTGGTATTTTGTCTTTGACAACATTTATAATTCCTACTATTAAAAATTTACAAAGTAAATAAGTAATAATAATGATGATGATTGTTTTTATATATTTTATTCTGTTATTAATGATTGTTTGTTTGTTTATTTTAGAGATTCCTCCAAAAATGTGGAAATTAAGAAAATAAAATTCCAATTAATTATAAAAAACATCCACCAAACCATTTATTGTTATTTATTTGACTCACCAAGTGGTCCTCGAATTGGCATTCGAAAAATGAATATGTTATATTATAGAAATTATAATAATAAATAAATGATAATGTTATATATTCTAATTTATGATCATAACACGAAGGATCTTCCAACTGAAAAAAATGTTATTACAAAAATTACAAAAATTACAAAAATTAAAATTAAATTACAATGCTTCTTCTTTTTCGTTCATCAAACAGTGTTTTTTTTCTACCTCACATTCAAACAAATCTCACATAGGTCGTAAACCTATAACAATTCCGTCAGAGGTTGAAATAAAACATGACTTGACACCTAATTTACAGCCAATAACTTTGACTGATTTGAATTCTACTACTTTAACAATATCGGGACCATTAGGTAGTCATTCTATGCCAATAAAACCATTTATTAAAATTGAGATTATTGCAAATGAAGAGAAGCGGAAAAGAGAAATATTATCAGCCAGGAAAAAAGAAGTTTTAGAAAGCGTCAAAAATCAAGATGTTATCTTTATTGATAGTGATGTGAGTGAAAAAAAGTTGCGTGTAGACATTCAAAGTAAGAGCGTAGAACATCAGAGAGCAATGTGGGGTACAACTAGAGCTTTAATAGCAAATTATGTTATTGGTGTCAGCGAAGGTTTCAGAATACCTATAAGACTTGTAGGTGTTGGCCATAGAGCTAATATGGAATCAGATAAATTGGTTCTTAGAGTTGGTTACACGCATCCAATTCAACTAGAAGTTCCAGATGGAATAAAATGTGAAGTGCTAAACCCTACTCAAATATTATTAATTGGAAGTGATTATGCACAATTAACATTATTTGCTGCGAATATACGTAAAAATAAAAAACCTGAGCCTTATAATCAAAAAGGTATTTTTGTTGGTGACGAAACCATCAAAAAGAAAACAAGTAAAAAGAAATGATTTTAATATTATTAGAAGGAGGAATGGAAAATGAGGTTATTTAAATAGTTATAATTATTCTTTTGTGTATGCGCACTGTATATAATATAATGCATATTATTAAATTTCTTGAATTTATTATGAAATTTCATTAATCAGTTGGAAAATAATTTAAAACAATTCTAAGATCTTATATGATGTTAAGATAAAAAATCCAGTATTTTATTTCTTTTAATATATTTTTTTTATTATTTTTTTGATTTCACCCCTTTAACATCTCTACCTCCACCCCTACCTCCACCACCTAAAAATACATGTTATTAAATAAATGATTAATATGATTAATCGAATGATAAACATTGAAATGATTTTTCAAAGAATTACCTCTTCCAGAGTTTCCGCCACGAAATCCACCACCTAAATTAAAATTAATACCACTTATTATTATGATTTTAAAAATTATCATTGTAGAGATAAATTTATTAATATGTTAAATGTACTTACGACCACGATTACCGCCACCGCCACCACTACCACCACTTCCTCCCATATTAGAAGCTTGACGTTGTCTTATTGCATCTTCTCTTACCATCTCTATAATTTCATCTGGCACTCTAAGATATTTAATCTGTAAAGATAATTTGATTATCATCATAGTATTTTTCACCTCTCTATATTTTAATACAATGATTGTTATATAAATACCGTATTTCCTCTGATATAACATTCAGGTAATCTCCAAAATCGATCTCCTTCCTAGAAATAAATAATGATTGATTTACTATACAAAGGAAAATTTCTTCAAATAAATATATAATATTAATAATGATTGTAAATAAATACTGGAGATGTTTGTATCACTTCTCTTAAGGTCAAGTTCATCCAATTATCACAATTTACCAAATGCCCATTAAATGTTTCTCCATTTTTCAATTCTACCAACTATAAAATTAGGAAAATTGTTATTAATAATTACATATATAGATATTTAATTATTAAATATTTTTTTTACCATTGGGTGTCCTTGAGCTGTGTTTAATAAAGAAAGTGGTAACTAATTTTGAAAAAAAGGAAACGAAGAAAAGTTAAATCATATAAATGTCAATTTGCATTAGAAAATAATATAATTATTTTACCATTTTTGTGATTATTATTCCAATTTTTTTTGTAGGGAAATTTGGAGATCGTCTCTATCTGAAAAGAACAACATTTAAAAAGCATAAATCATAAAGTATCATCAACCTTTTTTTTATATTACAAAAATATGAACACCCACATATTATTGGTATGTTAATTTTATGAAAGCTCTGATTGATCGTATTCTAGACTGAGGTTAGCAAAATTGACAGGAAAAAAAATTTCGTTGGATGTTATCAATGGTCCAATTCCAAAAGGAAGAAGCTATAACTGCCCATATTTTTTTAAAAATAGATTTTAACATGATAAGTATTAATGACTTGATTTAATTAAAGCACTTATATTTGTAAAATTGGAACTTTATTTGATAAGCAAAAATAATTTTACAAAAAATAACATGAATAGTAAATTACAGTAATATTTAATTGAAATCTTAAGGGTAAGTAAAATAGAACCACCGCTTTTATAGATCACAATGATAAGTTTCAATTACATTTGTACTGGATGATTTCGTCACCAACAGTATACATGTATTTATTTTATTTATTTATACCACATCATTATATATAGCAAAAAAATAAAAATCATTATAACACATCCATAATAAAAAAGATCTAATTTTATAAAATTCCACAATATAAAGGAAATATCATTTAACAATCACAAAAATAAGTTTAAATGATTTGTTATAACGATATCACATCTATCACTGTTGACAAAATAAAATCTTATGCATTTAATAACGCATTGATTAGTAATATATTATTATTAATGAGATGTGTAAATGAACAGTTGTTGAATGTTTATGGTGATGATTCTAGTAAACATCATAATTTATAATTAATTTTCTTGATATTATTTTTAATGTGGACATGTCAAAAAGTGAAATTTACCATTCTTCTTGTACCAACATTACGCGTCTTTTTTTTATTTTTAATTTTACTCATTTGTTTTATTATGCCTTTATTTTTTATATAATAGCCTAAATAAACGTGGAGCAAAACTTGTAGTCTTTTATATGATAGGTAATTATTCAACATTCTTTACACAACTATTTTTTGAGAGCAAATACACAAGATTATGATTGTTTGTGTTATTTGTTATCAATATTAATTAGAGATCTCTATCTCATAGATACTTGGACAATTTGGAAACACGGAAACACCAAACAATTTAATATACAATTTTGATTACTGGAAGCTTATAGTTAAACCATTTCTTCTTATTCCTTGAGCACATAAGGCTAATCTCACTTGTCCCTCCTAGGATATAAATGCAATTGAACTTCAGAGGGAGGTGTCATAGATCTCAGGTTCATGATGGTATTGCATTATTGGCATTATTGTCAAGGAGGCTGTTAAAGCCTTTCACTTGTCTGAAGTCTTCCAACATGCGGGGGGCTCCATAACTGTGGTAGGGGCGGCTCCGCAGTTATGGGTTGCAATAGCATTTAGCATGTAACTGCGTGTTGCAGAGGAAACTTAATCAAATCTGACACATAATCATCAATATCAGATTTGCTCATTTTATTTCTTTTTCAATGACTTTTAGGGAACAATTGTACATGGGATCAAAATTTGTGTGAGTGGGGCGAGAGTTTTGGTACGAAATTCACACAGATTTCAAATTCATGCACAAGGAACAAGTGGGGACGCACCAAGGGTTTATTTTCTAACTCTGCCAATTATGTGGCTTTTTCCAAAATTGATTTCTTTAAATTTCATTTCTGCATGGCCCTGGTATTATCATTACTTGGGTGATGCAATTTATCAATTTATTTATTTGTTAACTCTTTACAAATTAAGGACGATGGTATCAAATGTATTACTGAAATTATTATTACATGTATTTGATCTATAGATAAGGAAATTCCATATGAATTAATAAAGTATACATATCATGAGAAAAAACGTATCAAATTAACTGAAATTACCACAACTCAGTCAATATCTGTCTGTTTTGGATAAAAACAACTACCATTTGAATTCTCTTGATGAGATGTCTAATTCATAAAATTCTAATCACTAGTTAGTGAGATATTTTTGTTTACTGTATATCGTTATGAACATTAAAACACCATTATACACTCATAATATGCTGGAGTGAAATGATCTACTAGCGTGTTATTGTAATAAACCTTTTACCACCTTGGATTCATTGTCTTTTTGCCAAAAATGACTGGATCACATTACCAAAATACAATTTCAATACCAATATTGAATCAATTTTGTCAAGATTTAAATAATCATAAAAAGAAATATCATCTACGCAAATGATGCAATTGGGAATTTTTGCTTAGAGTCACGATTAATGTTGTTTGACAGAATGTAAAAATATTACATCAAATTCGCTGCCATTAAGTCAAAAATGATGCAAGTAAAATTGCTTTAGAGGCTAATAAAATATAAAAGCTCACAAAAAAAACTTATAAATATATATATTCCAGGTCTCTTTTATATTTCTTGTGTATCCCAATTTCTCTTTTGTTTCATCAGGAGACAAGTAAGTTTTTCTTTTGCTGAATACAATTCAGTTCCCACACATTCATTTACTACTAAACTCGAGCATGTCTTATATTAATATTAATGACTTCCTTTATGTTTCAGGGTCAATTAATTTTAGTGTATAGTAATTATTATCAAATGAAAATTTTACGCGAAGGCTTTTTATAATATCAATATTGATTGGTCAAGTTACTTTGCAATAATAAACCATCTCCATCTTTATCCTTATTGTAGTGATCAACGAAGAACAAATTCTGGTCCTTGAGAGGATAATTAACATTCTGATAAAATAAAACTCTGCGATAGAAATCATCATTTTTTATTAAACGTTAATAAGCTTTTAAAATAAAAAACATTGTTTTTATTTTTTGTTTAAAGCATTTTGATAAAAGAAACAAGTGTAGTTCCTTGGCAAAAGGTAACAATTATGGAGTTATTTGCTTTGGTGAGTAAACAAGGTTATGATTAACGTTGGTTAACTGGTGGTGTTAATCGGAAATACTGGTAGTGTTATGTAATCATAAAACATAAGGCTGTTAAACAAGCTACTTGAGTTGTTTTACAAGTAAACCAAAGCAAATTTGCAATCAATCAATAAATGCGAACGACTGAAATAAATCGAAGTCCTTAAGCTTTGTAAAAGGCCATCTTTATTTATTTGCAATTATCTAGTACCATTAAGTGTGCTCACAGATTCGTCTAGGTGGAAGAAAGAGGGAACCAAAGTAAATTCGTAAACTAATTAATTGACGAGCACCAAATTATTGCGAGTTCCTGATAATCAGCCATACTTGTTAAATAATCAGTATCAACTGAAATGATACCTTGCAATATCACTATTTAACAAAAATCAAAAATTTATTATTTAGCTTTAAGAAATAAAATAAATTAAAAAGACAAATAATTATAACAAATAATTTAGGAGATTAAATTGCTCATTCATCAATTCTTTCTTTAATTATTAGAAATAAAAAATATATTGTTAATAATAATTAATGGATAGTAAGTTCAATTAATTAATTAAAAGTGAAATTTTTATTTACCTTCAACATTCTAGAGAAGAGAGTTAAAATCAAGTCTATTTAATGAACTATCATTACTTGTATAACTTTTTAAGCTTTTTGATTTAGCAATCTCCTCATCTAATATTCTACTTTTATGATATGCACCTGGATGTGATTCGTGTACTTGTTGCGAATCACTACCACCACCACTGCTGTTGCTACTATCATTATTAAAATCATGTTTTTTGATTTTAGAAAATTTGAATAATCTTTTTATTAAACTATTGTTATTTTCATAAATTTTGTCATATTTATTTTCAGCAAAGTCCCAAAGCTCTCTACTAGTTGGTCTTTTTGATGGATCCACATCCCAACACCTCTGCATCATTTGCACATAATCATCAG